TAGTTAGGACCAAAACAACAGAGGCTGACCACCACTCCTCCTCGTGGTCGGCGCGATTCCCAGGTGCTCGGAGGCGGCTGGGACTAGACCGAGCCGGGAGGAGGGGGGACAAAGTCCGAAGGTGACCCCTGCCTCTTGACGGAGCCGGGAGGGGGGCTGCGAGGTGAGCGCCTCTAGAACGTGGGGAACTCTAGGGAAGAGACCCCCAAGATGGAGAGGGCCTGTCCAGCTGGGGCTCCGGAGGGGTCGAACAAGGGGGAGGTGGAAGAGGAAAAGGAGAGCCGCCGCGGGGTTCCCTGAGCAGCAGGAGGGGCGGGAGCGGCTCTGAGGAATCTTGAGCACCTCTGGAAAGGGAGGCCCCGAAGGTCGAGTCTCGGAAGTTTGAGGGTCTAAGGCCGGTGAAAGGGCCGTGAGAGAAATGAGTTGATCCCAACAGGTGGACTCGGCCAGGGGCCTCCCCGRCGACTCATCTCCCTCACGCGTTTGCTAGCAGTCTGCGGGCCTGGCTGGCTCCTCAGGAAGCCGCCGGGCGCGCCCAGAGCCACCGCAGACAAAGGCCTCAGTAATCACGCTTCCAAAAGGCGCGGAAAGAAGCTAGCCAATCAGAGGGCGGGGMGGGGCTGCCGATCAGAAAGGCAGACCAACCAGGGCGAGGGTGCCGACCGCGCCTCTGGGCCCGGGGCCGGGACTTGGAAGCGACTCCGCCCAGGACGGCGGGGCGAGGGGAGTTGAGTGACGGAGCTTTCCGACCAATCAGAGATGAGGGCGTGGCTAGTGCTGCGTACGTAACAAGGGACGGGCGGGGCTGAAAAACAAGCGCTGCTGGTGCATTTCCCGGCAAATCCACAGCCCGCTCTACCCAACCGCTGAAGTCCGGTCTGTCGGCTTTCCGAATTTGCCAATCTTTTTCTGAAGCTGCCTTTTACCGACATTTCCTCAAGTGGCGCGAGGTCCCGCCTCCGCTCTCCTAGCCAGGCAAGCGGACTTTAAAGGGCCAGGTACTGGGTAAGCAAAAATGGACCTCTGGTTCCCAGTGGAGTCGCCCGGGATGACATGAATTGGAGGAGCAATAAATAGCAGTGCCACTAAGAACCGACTGAGCTTGAACAGCTTGCTTGAGGTCACACACTTGAAGTACCTGAGCGGAGATTCAAGCCCTTATTTCTGAGCCTTGTATAGAAATAAGATGCCTCTTTGGCAAATGAGGTATTGAAATGAATAAAACCCACATTTGAAATCTGGAGATCCGGTTTTCATCAGTTTCCAGGAGAAAGGAAGTCAAGCCTCTTGATAAAAATCCTTCTACTCCAGCCGCTTGGTGTCATCTGTCGTGGGGCTACCCTCCATATCTGGAACTTCTCATCCTTAAAGTGGGATGTTGTGAATTTTTCGCTTTAAAAAATTCATATTAAAAGGGGCCAGGATGAATACTTAATTATCTTTGWTTATCCTTACCCACCCCGGCAGTCCAGCAGCAAGTCCTAATATCCCTTCCTTCAAATACACCTCAAGTCCTTTCGCATCTCCAGATCTCCAGCACCCTCACCCTCCTTGGAACTACCACCACGTCTCTCCTAGAGAAGAGCAGCGTCTTCCCTAGACTTTCTGATCTCACTTTTGCTCTCCACCAAATCTGTTCTCCAAACTTCAGGAAAAGTGCTTGTAAAACATGTCTGGTGCAGGTGCTCACAAACGTAAATCTCAGTGACTCAGAAGGCTGTGGCAAGAGAATCAGGAGTTTGAGGCCAGCCTGGGMAATTTATCCAGTCCTCATCTCAGAATAAAAAAGGCTAGAGCTGGGGATATGGCTCAGTATTAGAGTGTCTCTGGGTTCAATCCCCAGTACTCAACAACCAAAAAAAAAAAAGCAACCAAATTATATCATACCTCTGCTTACAACTATTCAGTTTTTCAATATTCTTACAATTTAAAAAAATGCAGATGCTGGGGATGTAATTCAGTGGTATAGCACTTGTCTAGCACGCATGAAGACCCTGRCTTCAATCCTTAGCATCACAAAAAGAAGAAAAAGGAAAAAACCCCAAATTTTTCATTGCCGCCTACAAGATTCTATATAATCTGGATGCATCTTGTTTCTCCATTGAAAACACGGATGTTAGGTCCAGGTTTCTGAGTTCAAATCCTAGCTGTGCCACATAGGTAACTTTGGGCAGGTTACTTTACCTCTCGGAGATACAGTTTGGTCATCTGGAAATAAGGATTGAGTTTGTGGTATTCATGAAGACAGATCTAACAGACACATAGACCAATGATACAAAATAGAAGACAGAGACAAACCTACATATCTTCAGTCATCTGATCCTCAACAAACGTCAAAAACATGGGCTGGGGTTGGTTGTGGCTCAGTGGTGGAGCACTTGCCTTGCAAGTGTGAGGTACTGGGTTTGATCCTCAGCAAATCATAAAAATAACTAAAGGTAGTGCGTCCATCTACAACTGAAAAATACATATATTTTTTAAAAGATGTAAAAAACAGACATTGAAAAAAAGACAGCTTTTTAAGGGCTGAGGCTCAGCGGTAGTGCACTTGCCTGGCATGTGTGAAGCACTGGGTTTGATTCTCAGCACCACATATAAATGAATAAAATAGTTGTCTATCAACAACTAAAAAATAAAACAAAAAAAATTCAAAAAGCTTTTTAAACAGTGCTGGGACAACTGGTTGTAGAAGAATGAAATTAAATCCTTATTTCTCACCCTGCACAAAAATCAACTCAATGGGTCAAAGGCCTAGGAATTAGACCAGAAACTATGTAAATGCTAGAAGAAAATGGAAGGTGAACACTCCAGCATATGGGCACAGGCAATGGCTTTCTCAATAGGACCCCTAAAGCTCAGGAAATAATACCAAGAGTTAATAAATGGGATGGTATCAAATTTTAAAAATTCTGAACAGCAAAGGAAACAATTTGGAATGTGAAGAAATAATCTACAGAATGGGAGAAAATCTTTGCTAGTTTCTAGTGACAGAGGATTAATATCTAGAATATGTAAAGAACTCAAAAAACTTGATTCCAAAAAGTCAGATAACCCAATTAATAAATGGGCAATTGAATTAGACACTTCTCAAAGGAAGAAATACAAATGGCCAACAAATATATGAAAAAATATTCAGCATCACTAGCAATTAGGGAAATGCAAATCAAAACTACACTGAGATCTCATCTCACACTAGTCAGAAGGGCAGTCATCAAGAATGCAAATAATAAATGTGGAGAGGATGTGGAGAAAAAGGAACAGTTACATTGTTGGTGGGATTGTATATTAGTACAACCACTATGGAAATCAGTATGGTAGTTCCTCAAAAGACTAGGCTTGGAACCACCATATGACCAAGCTATACCACTCCGTGGTATTTATCCTAAAGAACTGAAGTCATCTTACTACTGTGATACATGCATACCCATGTTTATAGCAGCACAATTCACAAAAGCAAAACTATGGAACCAGCTTAGGTGTCCATCGATGGATGAGTGGATTAAAAAAATGTGGCATATACATTCAATAGAGTTTTATTCAGCCATAAAGAAAAATAAAATTATGGCATTTGCAAGAAAATGGAAGAAACTATAATCCATCATGTTTAAATAAAACTCAGAAGGTTAAGGGTTGTATGTGTGCATGTACGAATATGTAACAACAAATTCCGCTCGTATGTATAACTATGATGCACCAATAAAAGTGGGAAAAATGTGTAAAGATAATTTTAGGTATCAAAAATAAAGACTAAGACATACAAAAAAGAGATCTCCATTTTATAAAATGACTGACTCAGTACTCTACAAAATTGTTGAGGTTGTGAAAACTAAGACTGAGAAAGGGCAGCAGATCACAGATGTAAAAACTGGTGAGATCTGAAGTGTTGAGTTCACTTAATGTCATGTCTGTTTCTTAGTTGGGATAAATGTACCATGCCAATGAGAGATGATAACATTAGAAGCTGGGTGAGGATTATAGGGGCCTTCCACGTTATCTTTGTAACTTTTCTGTAAATATAAAAGCGTTCCAAAATCAAACGTTTATTTTAAAAATTATCATTTCTTCTAGCTCATTCCTTTCCAATCCTGCACGCGCTATCCTTGCTCTACCCCCAGAGCTCTGCACGGCTGTTCCTTCCAATCTCCAGGTCTTCTGGTGCCTTCCCACCATAACATTGCCTAAGGACCTTATCTAAACATCCCTTGCCCTGATTTCACATCTTCAGGTAATGAGTCCTACAGAAAATGAACTATTTATGTCTTGTCCTTCTCCCTCACAAGCATGCAATTTCTTGAGTAGTGGCCACAGCTCTTTTGTCCCCAGCTCCCAGCCTGGAGCCCAGCACACAGCAGGAACTGAATAAGTATTTCTTAAATTCAAGGAGAGGAGAAGGACGATTACTTCTCAATAAAACACTACCGGGACAGGGACAAGCAACAAGCCAACGCATTGGTTCCAGACTGACATCTGTTCAGACTCTGTGTTACGGCTTTGCACACGTGGTATCACGGGATATCACGAAAGCTTCACAAGAACCTGGGTGTAACATTAGCCCCAGTTCTCAGGCAAACATTAGGTCTCAGTTCTCGGACTGAGGCAAAGAGAAGAGGAAGACCCTAAAGTCACCAAGTCAGGCCGCACAGAACGGAATCCAGACCCTGGGGCGGCTGAGATTCCCACCATCTAGCTTCCCCTTTGCCCAGGAAGTGTCCAAATGTCCAGTTTTCCCTGACTATAATGTCCAGGTAGTCCTGAAGGATGTCCTGAGGCCACTTGTAGAAAGAGGCAGAGAGAAGGTGGAAGGACCCCTTGTCCTCTGGGTCTGAGGGAGGAAGGGGCTAGGTCAAAACGTGACGCCAGGGCTGCACCGCTCTGCGCCCCTTGAGCCCCAGCTCTGCGCACTAGGCCAGAGCCCCGCCCTCTTTCTTCCCAGGCCCCGCCCCTCCGTCCCAAGCCCTGGAAGGATCCACGCGAAGTTGATGGAAGAGACTCCCGTGAAGATGGAACAACTAAAGAACGGACCAGCTGGATCCGAGGGGTAAGAGACAAAGACCCCTAAGAAAGAGATAAGAGGCCCAGAGAGAAGAGGGGTCAGAGAAAGTGGGAGGGGGTGGGGTCTGAACAGACCCCCAGAGAGTGTCTGGTGGGGCGTTGGGGGCGGGGATCAGGATATCATCACATGGAAACAGAGTCTTAGGGGATTTTGATGACTGTATCGAGCCAGAAACTTAGAAATGGGGAGAGGCTAGAAAGATATTCTTCCAAGAAATTTCCGAAAAGGAACCAGGAGACTTGAAGGTACTGGGGCAGCCATAGGGCTGAGAAAAAAAGTAAGTGACACGTTTCCTGAGCATGCACCAGACTCAGCCCTTAAACACTCTCCTTTGATGCCGCCAGGGTTATCTTTTTCCACCCCTTCAGTGCTGGGTATTGAACTCAGGGAGTCTGGCATGCTAGGCAAGTAAGTGCTCTACCTCTGAGCCACTCCCCAGCCTCCAAAGCTATGTTTTGATATGAAAAATGTGGGTTTCAATGAGAAATGATTTGCCCAAGATGCACCACAAGGGAGGCAGCTGCGAGTCAGAATTGAGTATTAATGGCACAGCTGGGCCCGCTCTGCAGGAAACAGGGGGGACAAAGAGAAGGAACTGGAGTGAGGGTGTGAGAAAGTCAGAGGGGGGCTGCTGGTGGAGGTGCAGAGGCTGCCCTGCAGCGACAGGAGGAGGAGTTCAGAGAGGTGAGACCCACTGACCTGTCTTCTTGTCATCCTAGGAACAGCCTGCCCCTCCTGACACCTGGAGCTGAGGGCTGGTCCCCTGTGTCCATCCCAGCCCTGCCACCCTCGCTCGCGGGCACCCCACACCCAGCCCACCTGGGACTCCCTGAGCACCTGGCCTCTGTTACTGTTCCCATCCGCTTGGATGCCCTCTCCTACCTCCTGCACAGTGCCCTGATGGGGGCCTACAGCCTCCAGCAGTCCTTCCCCTCCTGCTGCTGCTCCCCACAGGCGTGCCACACCCAGCCAGGAGTGGCCAAGAGGCCGTTCAGGGGGCGTGGAGGGTGGGATGCTCCCCGCAGGCCCAGCCGGGGCCAGGGCCAGTCAAGACGCGGCCTTGGGAGAGCTGAGCAACCAGAGAGGGACAGGGCAGGGGTCCCTTGGGCTGGCCCCAAGACCCCACCGGTGACACCTCCATCACCACCCACCCTGCTGGCCCAGGATGGGAAGAAGGAGCCACTCCTGGACCCCACACCTGCTGCTGAGGACTGGGAGACAGACTATTAGGACCCAGAGGAGGGTCCAGCACTTCGTCACCCACAGTTTATTTTTTCCTGGAGCCCAGAGTGACCTTAGCCCTTAGCCTCCTGTTAACCCCACCCCACCCCCAAATCTGTGAGCCACGTGGTGAAGCTGGGACCTGCCTTAGGATCCCAAGTCAGGAAAGCCCTGAACCTGGACCTCACATCCATGTCCACACCCATGCCTGCCTGCTGCATGGCCTCAGTCTCATCCCCTGCACCATCCCCAACTGCAGCTACACTCCTGAGCCCACCAGCACCTAGGGCTCCTCCCAGGCCACTCCGGATCCCTCAGCCCTTCCCCCCTGCCTCTCCACACCTCCATGCCTGTCCCCAAACCCACTGGCTCCTTCCCCTATCCCCAGCCCCAGCCCAGTCTCGGCCTTCCTTCCCAGCCCCATTCCCTGTGTGCATCAGCCCCCCCGCCCATGTTCAGCTCCATCTACAGACAGCTGTACCCCAGTACGGTCCCCTGCTGCTCAGGGTGCCCTGCTTGAACAATAAATGGAAGGCTGCACTTCGTCTTGGTGTGTTGTGTGTGCACGCAGCTTAGGCTAGTCCAGTGGGTGCTGTGAGAGGAGGAGGGTCCAGGGAGGGTCACAGAGAGAGGCCAGTGGGGCCAGGGGCAGGGGCAGGAGCCACCTGGATCCCTGCTTCAGCGAATTCCATTTGAGGCCTCTGCCACCTCTGCACTTCTGCCTGCTGGAAGCTGCTGGGCCATGGAGCCATTGTGTAGGGAGGCTTAAGGGATTTGGGGGACACACGGGGCAGAGAGACCGGCGACCTGGCTCGGCTCAGTCTGCACAGAGGGGCTGTGGCAGAAGAAGGGCTCAGAGCAGGCTCTGCCACTCAGGTAGGCATCAGGCATGAGACCTGCAGCCCCCTCCCCCAGGACCTGAGGTCTGGGCTCCCCGCCCCCACCTTGTCCAGGGACCTGGTGTCCCAGCCCCAGCCCCCTCCTCCCCTGGGATCCAGGAATCCAGGCCTCTAGCCTGCTTCTCTCACAGAACCAGGAGTCCACACTCCAGCTTCCTCCCCACAAGGACTCAGGGGTCCCAGGCCTCCCCTCCTTCCCAAGTCCCTTCCTCCACCAGCACCCAGGTGCTCAGCTCCCAGCCCCCTCTCTCCCCTTCCCTGCAGATCACCATGTACAGCTTCATGGGTGGCGGCCTCTTCTGTGCATGGGTGGGGACCATCCTCCTGGTGGTGGCCACAGCAACAGACCACTGGATGCAGTACCGGCTGTCAGGGTCCTTCGCTCACCAAGGCCTGTGGCGGTACTGCCTGGGCCACAAGTGCTACCTGCAGACGGAGAGCATTGGTGAGCCCTGGGACAGAGCCCTGCCACGGGGTGTTCCGGAGGGAGATCCTCGGGCTTTAAGGAAAAGGGACCACAGGCCCACAGCCACTGGGCTCGGAGGGGCAGAATCAGGATTTCAGGATTGTTTTCTAGCTGCAGGGGCAGGATGTATTAGTGTGGAGGTTAGGCTAGGAGGTGGCATTTCCTGAAACAAAGAGGTGTCAGGCACAGCAGTTAGAGCTGGGTTGCCTGAACAACATTTTATAAATATCTGCTACAAGTGGGTTTAGTGGTGATGCAGTCCTGTCATCCCAGAGGCTCGGGAGGCCAAGGCAGGAGGATTGCAAGTTCAAAGGCAGCCTCAGAAGATTAGCAAGACTCTGTCTAAAAATGAAAAGGGGCTGGGGATTGTAGCTCAGTGGTTATGCACTGGTGGTAATAATAATAATTAATAATAATATACAAATAAATATCTGCTATGGACCAATAATCATGTTAGGACCTGGGAGGCAGAGAAGCTGTTCAGGTGCTAAATACTGGATGATGTACTTTATTACTTACTGCATGCCAGGCCACCTTGCACACAGACATACAGAGAGATGCACATACAGATGTATAGTATATTACATAGAATAATAGTCTATCATATCCATAAATTATATATTGTGTCTTATGCATACAAATTATTTTAATAACACATTACATTTGATAGATTTGTAGTATATAATATAAATTAATAATATGTAATTGTAATACATTACATAATAGTTAATRTGTTATTTAACTAATATTATAGTTACTAATAGTACTAATAGTAGTAATAGTAATAATAGTAGCAGCGTGCATTTATTGAGTGCTTACTGTGTCCTACGTGCTATTCTTAACACTTTGTGTGGGTTAAGCCCCTGCTGTCTCCCAGCACTGCCAGGAGGGCAGGTCAAAGATGTGTGTGAATAGAGAGATTTGACTGTGAATAGTCAAACATCCTCTGAGGGGCGCATCTTTACCAAGATTTCGCAGACTCCCTTGCTGAGTCAGCCTTGAGAGAGGGGCAGCACAATTTGCTGGGGGACATGCTGAGGTGGGGAGCAGTGGGAGGGTTTGTCATCTGCCTGACACCACACATGCTTTTCCCTTGTGGCTGACCCTTGGTGACCCTTTCCATCTCTCCCACTTCAGCCTGGGCCCCCTGTGACCGGCTGCTCTGAGTTGCCTCCTCAGCTCATCCCTGCCAGGTTTAGTGCAGGTTTCCAGTTCCTTTGACATCCTTGGGGCCACAAAACCAGGGACAGCCACCTGCATGGATTCTTGGGTATTTGCTAAGACAGCTGACTGGATTTGAATCGGCTGTAATTTGCTCCCCCAATTTAAGAGCAGGAGCCCTTGACTTGCTTCCTGGGTGCCTAACCCAGTTGCTGGTTGAAGATAAGGAGTGGGAGACTGTACTAGGGCCCTGGTAGCAAGGCCCTGTCTTCACAGAGCTGAAAATTTGGTGGGAACAGACAGGCACTGTGGACAAGGTAAAAGTAAATGAACAGGACTTTGGAGATGAGCGAGGGGCCTGAGGAAATGGAAGAGGGCACCCAGAGAGCGCAGAGCGTGCCGAGCAGGAGGGCGCGGAGAATCTGAACTCACCGCTAGTTCAACATGTCTCCAGACCCGTGTGCAAACCAAACCTGGGCTGAGGTTGTTCACGGCAAGAACCAACACAGTCCCTGTCCTCAGGGAGAAATCAGGACCCTGAACAGCAGGTGAGTGCGATGCCTGGGAGGAGAAGGACCTTCTCAGAGGAGGTCTTGAGAGACAGGAGGATGAGTAGGAGCTTGCCAGGTGGAAAGGAAGGCGTCTGCAGAGCCCAGGGCAGCTGGCTGGGGTCACGGAGAGGGCGAGACGTCCGGTCCCAGGGAAGCAGGGTCCCTGCTAGAGCAGCCTGGGAGTGACCTGGGTGTTCCCACAGCCTACTGGAATGCCACCCGGGCCTTCATGATCCTGTCCGCTCTGTGCGCCACCTCGGGCATCGTCATGGGCATCCTGGCCTTTGCGCAGCAGTCCGCCTTCACCCGCCTGTCGCGGCCCTTCTCCGCGGGCATCATGTTTTTTGCCTCCAGTGAGTGAGCCTGCCCCTCCCCCCCTTCCAACTCCCAGCTCCCCCTCATTCCCAGCTCTGCCCCCTAATCGCAACCCACTCCCCAAACCAACTTCTCAACCGCCCCCCTCCACTGAGAACCAGCCGTTCTGATTCTGGTCGCATCTGACGCCACGTGGTGCACTTTACTTCTGGCCTAACCACCCAGAGTTAGCGTGGGACTCCACAGGTTAGGGTCACAGCTGCTGGTCACAGCTCCCAGGCCAACGGTACTTCTGACCAGCTGACTACAAATCCAAGGGTTCCTGAAATGTGTTGGAGAGAAGAGCAGCACACCCCTGTAATCCCAGTGACTGGGGAGGCTGAGGCAGGAGGATCACAAGTTCAAGGCCAGCCTCAGTGCAACTTAGCCAGACCGTGTCTTAAAGTAAAAATTAAAAAGGTGGGTGGGGAGCTGGGGATATAGCTCAGTGGTAGAGCACCCCTGGGTTCAATCTCTAGGACCAATACACACACACACACACACACACACACACCCATATTGGGGCATCTCGTACAACTCAGGAAAGTGCTCTCTTACAGCGGGATCAGACAGGTTCCCCACGCACCCCACAGTCCTGATCTGCAGGCAGACTCTGGGTTTTAGTCAGTGTCGTTACACAGGCTTGCTTGACAGAACAACTGGCCATGAGTGGAGCCTGACCTCCAGCCCCCCCCCCCCGCTCCCCAAGGGGCTGTGTTGACATCAAGGGGCTCAGAGCTCCAGCCCCAGGCACACATAGGCTCTCCTGGTGACCTGCAGTCACGGATGTGAACTCAGGTGTGGCCCACACGGGCTCAGGAATGACAAAGAGAGTCCTGTTACTCAGGGGCTCTCAGGGATTCCACCTCCCTCCTGTGTGTACACTGCCCCCCTGCCCCAGTTCCCCAGCCCCCCAACCCATGCACACCCTTCTCCCTACCCCCATCCTGCCTTCCCTGACCTCTGCCCCTCCCCCGGTGGCAGCCCCCTGCCCACCCCACACCCAGCCCCCCTGGGCCGTCCTCACCATCCTCTCTCCCCAGCCCTCTTCGTGCTGTTGGCCTTGGCCATTTACACGGGAGTCACGGTCAGCTTCCTAGGCCGCCGCTTCGGGGACTGGCGCTTCTCCTGGTCTTACATCCTGGGCTGGGTAGCCCTGCTCATGACCTTCTTCGCAGGTACCAGGGTGGGAAGGTCGATGTCTGGGGCAGGGTGGGCACTCAGGGTGGGGGCGAGATGCTGGGGTGTTCCCCATGCACCCCACAGTCCTGATCTGCAGGCAGACTCCAGGCCTGCGGGGCCTGGGGCCTGTGTCCACCCAGGGATGGAGGGAAGGAGTGTGGGGGCTTGGGAGGGGTCTGCAGGTCCACGGGGATCCCTTCCCGCAGGGATTTTCTACATGTGTGCCTACCGCATGCATGAGTGCCGGCGCCTGTCCACGCCCCGCTGAGCCCGACGTCAGCCCAGTTACAGTGAGGTCACTGGAGAGGAGGAGGGTCTGGAGGCCTGGAATCCTGGTTCCTGGGGGGATGTGGGGCTCAGTCCCAGACTCTGGGAAGGGGCCTCTGACTCCTGTGTCCTGAGGGGAAGGAAGAAGAACAGGGCCTGGCGGCGGGAGTGGAGGTGACCCAGTCCCCAACCTGCCGGGCCGTTGTTAGAGAAACAATATCCTTTAGAGTGACATTTTGGGGTCTAATAAAACTGACGTGAAACTACCGCAGTGTGAATCTTTGGAGGTGAAAAGAAGCAGAGGTGAGTGTGGTAGGTGGGTGTGAGGTAGGGGAGGCCCGGCCCTCTCCATTTCTGTAAGTTTGAGGACAGAGATACGTCACGTGGTCTCACCCGGGAGTTAGTCATGGATGTGTCAGATCACAGGATCGATGAAAAGGTGAGAGAGAAAACGGCCTCCCTCGCAAGCCACCCCCAGTCCCCGTGGGCTCCTCCAGTCTCCTCCCCTGCCCTGGCAGGGGCTCCTCCAGCTGGAAACACCACACTCGGAGCTTGCACCGTTCATGAACCTGACTTCTCTTTATTCACCCACTCATTAGCTCATTCAGTAAACAGGTGCCAACCACAGGAGACCAGTTAGTGAGGTGGATTCTAATAATAAGCATTTTTATCACAGCCTCTGCGAATAAATGTTATGTGAATAGGAGCTTATTCCCTAATGTATTATTTATTGGAGCCTCCTCAAAAAACAATACTGTATTTATAGAGGCTTCCTCTGATAATAATGGCAGTTGAGGCCTTCTGTGATAATAATGTATTGGGGCCTATGTAGGTAAAATATTTACTGAGGCTTATTCCAGTAATCGTATTTATAAGGGCTTATCGGGCAATAATAATAATTATAACTCCAGAATCAGATCTCCAGCTACTGACTCAACATTTCCTCTTGAAAAGAAGAGACATCTCAAATGTCACAGGTCTAAAAATAAGTTCCTCCCTCTCTCTCTCTCTCTCTCCACCCCCCACAAGTGCTCCTCTCATGCTCTCCCCTTCTTAGAAAATGACAACTCCATTTTTACATAGTTGCTCAAGACAAGAACGTTGCAGATCATCAGTCCTCCCCACCCTCCCTCCCTTCCTTCCTTCCTTCCTTCCTTCCTTCCTTCCTTCCTTCCTTCTTTCTTACTTTTTTCTTTCCTTCCCAGGGATTGGACGCAGGGATATTTAACCACTAAGCACATCCCCAGCCTTTTCTCTTTTTGAGACAGGGTCTCACTAAGTTGCTGAGGCTAGCCTCAAACTTGAGATCTTCCTGCCTCAAGCCTCCCAAGCCACTGGGATTACAGGTGGGAGCCACCACGCCCAGCTCTCAGTCCCTTCTTTCCGTCACATCCAACATCTAATCTATGAGCATATTTGCTCATGGATCAGCATTATTATGTTGACTCTACCTTTAAAAATGTATCTGCATTTTGGCTCCTTCTTGTCCATCCACAGTTACCACCTGGTCCAAGCCTTAATCATCCCCTACCTGACATTACCACAGCCTCCTAGGCAGCCTCCTGGCCTGGTCTCCCCTCCCGACCCCTGCGGAATCTGCTCTGCACAGCATTCAGATGCAGTTTTGTGAAGACACGATTTGAATGGTGCCAATTCTCTGCCCGGGTGCAGGCATTCACTTCTTCAATGGAATGCATGATATAATGTAGGTTCGGGGACAATCAGGGTCCTACATGCCTTGTGCAATGCTGTATTCTCAATTTTGGGCCCCTAAATCAATAAGATCTTATTCCTGTTAAGACAGAAATAACTTCTTGAAGTCTGAAAAAAACATGGAAAGTAGTGGAAGGAGAGAGACTTTGGATATACCAAATAAAAAAGTAGAAGTGTGAGGCACGGGAGGAGGGTCTTGGGTACGGGTGGAGCCTTGGGATTTGAGGCAGGGGGCATTGGCCCTGAAGACAGAATCAACACCAATAGAGCCAAGAGCAGCTCTCTGTGTGGCCAGGGTGGGTGGAGCAGACCCTTCACAGAAGACCCCTGAGTGATGACACTGGGTGGGTGTTCTGTATGGTTGGGGGCTGCTAAGGAGTTCTCAAGCCTGGAGAGGCAGGAAAGGCCTGGAGAGACCCGGGGTGACTCAGAAAAACTGGCAGCACTTAGACAGGTAGAGATCTAAGGAAACCAGCAGTTTGACAGTGTGGACAAGCAAGGAACTCATGTGCACTCTCAGGAAAAGCTTCAAAACCAGCCTGGTTTCCCCTCTGGCCACCTCAGACCAACCTCCTGTTCAAGGTCACATTTGGCTCTCCTGCCTTTGTGCTCTTCTTCCTGACCTCCACCTGCCCCCGCTGGCTCAAGGTGTGTGTGCCCAGCCTGGGCCCAGCCTGGGATGCTCACATGTGCAGGGATTTGCTGGGGCCAGGTGCAACTCACCTGTGTGTATGCGGCAGGCCTGGATGTCAGGGTGCTCACTTGAGGGAAGGAGAAACAGGGGTGTGGGCTTGGACCTGGAGGTGAAGATGAGGGTGACAGGTGGGCAGGGAGGAGCTAGAGGGGCTGGGTTTGGGGCTGCGGTTGAGTTTGGAGCTGGAACTGGGGTTATGATGGGGTCACTGTCACAGAAGGCCTCTGTGTTCACCACCCACCAGTAGCCCCGACTTCCCGAAGCTGTCTGGCTGCTCCTAGCCACAGACCTGTCTGTATGTTTGTGCTGGTGACCCTCCTGCTCATGATGACCTTCACCCATGTCTGCAGGCCTGTCCTTGTTCTCAGGAGCACCCACTTGCCTCACTGGTGGGGACCTGAGCAGAGATGGGGCCTGCAAATTGAGGAGAGAAGCTAGCCTCCTGGGACATTTCTTGTTCTCTCCATTCTCCAGCCGTCCTGGGACAGCTGGCCCAGTTCATTGTCATGACCAATGTCCCCTTCCAGGCCATTCCCCACTTCATAGGAGGAAGGTGTTCCTGGGCCTTCTCCCTGGGCTGTGGCACTTCCGCCTCCCAGGTGAGGTGTTGTCCAGGACCTGATGCTGAGAGGCCAGAGGCCGGCCCTGACATGTTTGTCCCCACTGCCCAGGCACCTGCCGCCCCCGTGCTGGAGAACCCACCACGGGGCAGAGTTGCCTCTCATTTATCAGATGAGGATGTGGGCAGGTCTTCCTCTCCATGGCCTTTCAGAATGCTAGCTGTCCACCCCATTTGCCTGCCCCAGGTATAAATTTCAGCCCTGGACCTGGAGTCTAGTTCTGGCCCCCTAGTCCCTTCCTTTGGTGGAGACCCTCCCTGGAGTTGGGGCCCTCCTTTCCCAGAATAGAAGGTTACAAAACCACAGGAAAGCATGACAGGTCACCAACTGTCCCCTCCAGCCGCAACTCCCCTCCCATTTAACTCACACCAGAGCCTGATTGGCCACCTCCCACCTCCTCCGGGGCCCCCAAGTCTCTCTTTCTCACCCCTTCCAGGAAGCTATCTCTGGTGTTAAGGGTTCCAAGGGTGGGAGGTATAGAACCTGCCACAAAGACACAAGTTCTAAGCCACCAGCTAAACCACCAATGCTTTGACACCCCCAGTGCCCGCCCTCCACACACGGCAGCAGGGAGCCCAGCCTTGCCGGGGAGGGCGGGCTTGGTTGTATGTGCAACTCAGGAAGAGTCAGCTGATGGGAACTGCGAGAAAACAGCCTGGCCTCTTCTGAGGTTGCACAAGGCACCTAGCAGATCCTGCTGCTTGCTGGCTTCTTCTGGAGCTCAGAGGACCCAGGAGTCTGGGCGCACAGTTCCTCCTCTCTCCAAGTCTGCAGCCTGGGTCTGAAACCTTTTCATTGCCTGGAGCCCAGAAACCCAGCACTCACCCATGGAGCCCTGCCGGTCTCTGGCCCTGCTTGCTGGCTTCCTGGGCTTGATAGCCACCCTGGTTGCTCTGAGCACCGATTTTTGGTTCGTGGCCATGGGACCCACCTCCTCTGCTCACTCAGGCCTCTGGCCATCGGGACATTGGGAGTCAGTAGCAGGTAAGGGGGAGAGGGCTCTCATGTGGGAGGATGGCTGGTGGGGAATGGACACTCAGAAGTCTCATCTGCATCCAGCTTCCATCCACGTGACCCAGAGCTTCTGCATCCTGGCTGCTGTGTGGGGCCTGGTGTCGGTGGGCTTCCTGGTCCTGTCCTGTATCCCTTCCTTGTCTGCCCCAGGCCGCGGCCCTCTGGTCTCAACCATCACAGCCTTTGCTGCAGGTACTCTGGGAAGGGTTTGGGCTTCGAAGCCTGTGAGCTCCTCCAGAGGCCTGAGCCAGCTCTCTCTGCTCCTTGCCCCCAGCTCTCTCCTTGGTGGTGGCCATGGCTGTGTACACAGGAGAGAGGTGGGCCCAGCCTCAACACCCCCAGATCCAGACCTTCTTTTCCTGGTCCTTCTACCTGGGTTGGGTCTCAGCCATCCTCTGGCTTTGTGCAGGTAACCACCCAGCCCTGGGGAGCTGGGGAGGCCCATCTAGAAACAGTGAGGGTGCAAAGCAGGAGGAAGTGCTAATTCTCTCTGGCCACCCCAGGTGCCCTGAGTCTAGGTGCTCACCGTGGTGCCCGGCAGCCCGGCTATGAAAGCTTGTGAGTGGAATGCGAGAATACCAGGATGAGTCTGGGGCGCTGTTCTCTGAAGGCATCATCAGAAGCTGCAGGAACAAATGCCTGACTCTGCCTTTATCCCTCTCTCCCAGCCCTTCCCCCTCCATTTATTATGTCTTCATTCATTCAATAAAAATTCGCTGAGATCTGATATTTCAAGATTAATTCAGTCAAGATGGAAACCAGCCACACATTGGCTCCTTGGTGGGTGACAGTGGGTGTCCAGGGTAGGTGAGAGCTGGCCAGACCTGCCTGCAGGGTGCTTCTGCCCTATGTGGGCACAGGCTCAATATGTCCCAAGTATGTCTCCTGCTTTCTTTCTCTAGTGCTTTCCTTTTCTTTCTTTCTTTGTACTGGGGATTGAACCCAGGGGCACTGTATCACTGAGCTCAGCCCTTTKTTCTTTTGAGATAGGGACTTACTAAGCTGCCCAGACTGGTCTGGAGCTTGTGATCCTCCTGCCTCAGCCTCCCGAGTTGCTAGGATGATAGCTGTGCACCTCTGCACCTGGTTCTAACGCTCTTCTTTCTCCCTGTATCACTTTCTCATTTCTTCTGTGTCCTTTCCCCTTTAGCTAGCTTTTTACTCTTCTCTCTCCTTCGCTGGGCCATGCTAGGGTCACTGACATGTCAGACCCAGTTCCTGCCCAACAGGGGCTCAGTGAGAAGAGGAGAGGCAGTTCAAGACTAGCCTGGCAACTTAGCAAGACCAGGAGGAAGTGCCAGGGAATTTTTAAATAAAATTTTAAAAGGATCTGGGAATGTAGCTCAGTGGTGGGGTGTTTGCTAGCATGTGCAAGGCCCTGGGTTTACCCATGGGAGCAGGAAGGTGACAGGAAGACCAGCCCTCTGGTAGAAGTGCAGAGATGAACTCTTGAGGGGAAAAGGCATTTAGGAACTTCTTGAGGGCCAAGACAGGGTGATTTTTAGGTAGAGGGACCCAAAGATGCAGGCAATAGGAAGTCCAGACGTTTTCAGGGGATGGAGAATGATGTTCTGTGGCCAGAATGTGGAATAGAGAGGGAGAGAGAACAGAGAAACAGATGGGATCTGGGGACCTCTAATGCCACAGTGGGCTTTCTCCTCAGGGTGATCTGGAGTTAGGAGAAATTTGTGAACAAGGGAGGGACAGTGTCCCTAAGTGCCAGAAAGATTCATCTGGGAACATGGAAGTGAGGCCTGGAGGTTAGGGAGGCGATAGGAGAGGGGAAGGGATGGGGCCTGAGCTGGATCAGGCCATCCCAAGTTTGGTGGAAGCCTCTGAGCTCTGTTAGGATGTGGTTGAGTGTGAGGTCCTGGGGGACAGCCAGGAGCAGGTGAGGACTGGTCTGGGTCTCAGAAGATGTTGGAGCTGGATTTGGGGTTGTTCTCAGAACATCAGGTGCCAGCTGGGGGAGTGAGGAGGCCCACCTGGAAAGAGGTGCAGGATGGCGCCTCAGGGGACAGCAGCGCTGACAAGGGCAGGGGAGGAGATGCCAGCGTCCTGAGCCCGCATGTGGACTGAGAGGGCACAGCTGGAGAGCTGCCTCAGACCCAAGCTCCTGGGGTGCCTTGAATGTCAAGGGAAGGGAAATTTCTCGAAGGACTTGATCTCCCTGTGGTGGCTCTCAAGCTCCTTTACCCCTAGGCCTGTGGTTGAGAGGGCTGCTGGCCCGTGTGTGTGGAATGTGGGAAGGGGCGGGGGTATTCCTTTAAATGGCTGCTGAGGGAGGGAGTTCTGGAACTTTGGCTGCCTCACAGACACCCAGTCTCCCTTCCCCCACCCCTCTGGGCTCCGAGTCTAAGAAGCCCTAGGGAGCTGAGTGTGAGTCACTTGGGTGGGAAGGACACTGGCCGGGTTGAAAGGACATTCCACCTGTGGAGGGAGGCCCCGGGAAGAGGTTCTGGAGCAGAGCTGAGGCCTGGGGTGAAGGTCTCAGGGGCCTCCATGGGGGGGTCTCAAAGTCCCTAGTAGGAAGGCTTGGGCACGACTGATGGTCTGGGGGGAGGGGCAGTGGGTCCCCAGGCAGAGTTACTAAGGGAGGGACCTGGACGTGGGGGTCTAAAGGAAGGGGGTCTTCAGGTTCCCAGGAGTAGCGGCCCCAGAGAGGGGTACTGGGGCCGAGAGACATCCTGAAGCGGGGCCTCTGGGGTGTGGCCAATCCTGCCTGTGTGGTCCTTGGCAGCAGCCTCCTTGGCATGGGGGTGAAGCGGAGCCTTCAGAGCGGGGGCACTTTGCTCACCATCTTGGCCAACGTCCTCACGGTGCTGTCCACTGCCACCAACTACTGGACCCGCCACCACCAGGGCCACAGTGGCCTGTGGCAGGAATGTACCAAAAACACCTGCTCCAACATCCCCTGCCAGAGTGAGGCCCGCCCTCCCAGATGTCAGACCACACTTGTGAGCCCCCCAGACAGCCCCAGACACAAAAGCTGGGCCCAAGAGCAGGCGCCCGCCCCGCCCCTTTCACTCCAGGCCCAGACCCAGCTGCCTTCCACGGCTCGGGCCACTGCCGACTCCCACTTGTGGACCAGATTCCGGGCCACGACATTAACCGCCCATCCCGACGTGACCTCTAGGTCCCCAACCAAACACCCGACTCTGGGTCGGGAAAGCTGGGCTCTTGGCGGGTGGACTTGTTGGCCAGGACAGCTCCACCTTGCGACCGAAGCTGTCGCAGGAGGGGCAGCTCCCGCTCAGGGCTGATGCGGCCCACTCTCCCCAGCCACGCTGGCCGTTACCGCGGCTTGCATGGTGCTGACGGCTGGCTTTGGCATCGTGGCCATGGTGATGGGGATGCGGATTACGTGCCACAAGGGCGAGCCGCTGCGGGCCCGGACTACAGTCTCCTTGCTCTTCCTTAGCGGTGAGAGGCAGCAGCCACCAGCAGAGGGTGGGCCTGAGAGTGACCAAGGGGCTTGAGCTGGGCAGGAAACGAGCAGAAGGTGTGGGGCAGTATTTGGAGCAGGAGGAACTAAGGGGCAGGACTCGACGCGGGGCTTCGAGGGGGGGTGGGCGTGGTCACAACGGGGCGGTTCTTAGGCTTAGGGGTGTGGCCTGGGTGGTGCCACGGTGTAGACCCACCAGGCCACGCTCACCTGGCGGGCGGGCGTGGCCCAGGGCTGCTGCTGCTGACCGCCCTGATAGGCTACACGGTGAAGAATGCCTGGAAGGACGACGTCTTCTTCTCCTGGTCCTATTTTTTGGGATGGCTGGCTTTACCCTTCTATATTCTCGCGGGTAATTTGGACAGTCGGGAAGAGGGTTGAAGAGACTGTCCAGAGGACCCCCCCCCCCCGAGACTCCCCAGCCACTCCCCCGGGACACCCCACAGTGACTTCCAAACGCACTCCACTCCATACTCCCGCGGACCCAGCAGAGACGCCCTTGGCACCCCAAATCCCAGTCCCCCGGGCCCGCCTGGTCACCTGCCCCAGGGCCCACTTTCCTCCACCCGCCCTCCGCTCCCCTCCCTCCCGCCAGGCTTCTGCTTTCTCCTGGCGGACATGATCCTGCAAAGCACCGATGCCATCAGTGGATTCCCCGTGTGCCTGTAACCGCGTCTGCCTGGGACAGAATAAAGGAACGGCTTTTATCGCCATGGCTCCAAGTGCATTTCTGGGGGACACAGGGCCACGGGGTCGCTGACGTCGGGGTACATAGAGGCTCAGGGGGGACAGAAGGGCACGGCCTAGAGGGAATGCGGAAGCGGAGGAGGGGACGCGAATCTGGAAACACGAACCTGGAGTGGACACAGGGGAGTGGAGCCGCGAGGGGACGACATGGAGAGGGTATGGCGACAACGCAGAGGGAAAGTGGAGACTGGGGTGGACGCGGATACGGAGGCGATGGGAAACGCCGGCAGGGAGAGAACCTGAGGACTCAGAGGCGTACAACAAGGGCACGGGGTGGGGACCTGGGCACGGAGATTTAGAGAGGAGGAAGAAGGAGGATCTGGAGGGACACCGGGAGGAGCTTAGAGAAGCCGGGAGCCCGTCCCTCCCCGCAGAGCCGCCCTCGGCAACGCTACCTTTCCCCTACTTTCCCGCCACGCCCCGGGTCCCGCCTCTCTCCTGGGGATCCGCCTCCCATTGGCTCCCTCCMTCCAGCCTTCTGATTGGTTCCCTATCGGGGCGGGGTAACGGGACCGTGGTGGTTGACTGGCTGGCCGCGAGGTGCGCAGGCGCAGAGACGGGGTGGGCGGGGGAGGTGGAGGACGGAGGGGCCGGGTGCTGGCTGACCCAGCAAGTGGCTGCGGCGGGAAGATGGCGGAGCTGCGCGCGCTGGTGGCTGTCAAGAGGGTCATCGACTTCGCCGTGAAGGTGACCGGGCCCCCTTCTCCCACTCCCTGAGCCCCGAGGCCTTGAGCTTCCGGGATCACGCACGCACTGTTCGGGGATCTTCTCGTAGCCGCTGATCTCTGCCGCTGTCCCCCGAACGTCAAAGTCACACCTGGGGGCAAAGATCAAGGGCTGTTAGGTTCTGATGTCCACCCCTTTCAAGGCACGGACCATTTCCTTTCCCTCGCTCTGGACTCAGTTTCCTAATAACGGTGCAAAGCGAGTTGCTTTCTGTATTTCTCACTGACTCCAAGAGCCACAGTCGCTGTTTAACCACACGGGGAAGCTGAGCCACAAGGAGCTCATTCGGCTAGAAGGTGCAGAGCCCAGAATCCTGCCCAGGTCCTCTGAGTCCACACTCAGACTCGGGTTTTGCACACGAGCCAAGCTTTCACCCTCTAGGCCCCATTGCCTGCTCGATTACAGTCCTCCAAATGTCCTAAGACCCCGTCAGACAGGGCACGATTGGACACCCCAACTGTCTTTCACCCTCATAGCCACAGGTGGGAGAGGGAGCTCTAGCTAGGAAAGGAGGGAGACATGTTTGTTAGAGAGGAAAGTTCAAAGGGCCAACCTGACTGAGCTGGGGGACTGACTCACTTAAGGGGTTGGGGTAGGCAGCATCCCTAAGGATCTGGCTTGTCCCCAGAGGGAAACTGGTATGGGCAGAGATGAATCAGACATGGATCCTCAGGCCAGTTTCTGTTAATGCTTGGCCTAAAATGCTGTCATGTCTGACCCCCCCATCAGACTGGGAGCTCACCTGTGTCCCCAAGCATTGCCTGACACAGGGTCTTAGGGTGGGTGCAGCTGGGCCATTGATAGTACCCCTGCCTGCTTGGGGCACTTGGGGAGGAGGGTACGTATCAGAACAGCTGACATTAAGTGGGTACTTACCCTGTGCCAGGAGACATTCTGAGTCCTTTACAGAGATGAACCCATTCAGTCCTAACCTTTTCTATATCCACTGTTATTAATCCCATGGGACAGACAAGGAAACCGAGGCCTGTGAAGTTCTCTTACTTGCCAGATAACCGAGTTACTAAGTAGCAGACTTAGGAAATCCAGGCAGGTCCTGCTCCAGACTCTGTTGTGCCTGACTCCACTCAACAGCCACTTGGCCTGATGATGCCTCAGGCAGCATAGGACAGGGGTGTCACTTCCATCCTGTTTTGAGACATGCTGTTTTGAGGTCCTGGAACCTGACTCCTGATTTCTTCCTACCTCTGCCTGTTCCTCAGTGGCCCCCATTTGGACTCCTAAGGCCTCATCCCCCTGCCCCAGCACTGGTCTCCCTGGCCTGGGCTATCTGGGGTCAGCTGTGTCTCCCTCACCATGCTTGACACAGCTGTGGTCTCAGTGGCACCCAGCACAGAGCCTGGCACATGGGTACCCGTGGTGTGTTCGGTAAGAGAACAGAGAGCAAAGTGTGAATGCAGAATTGTATCGGTTTCCCAAGGGTCAGTGCCACTTCCCCTCCCACACTGGCCCAGGGCTCTCTCTTACTTCCTGTCTGGATGGGTCTGATTATGGCCCTTTTGGAAACAAATAAATGATTCAGACACTACTAGCCATCTCATCACGGGGCCAGACCAGGCCCCAAGCCCGTTCCTAAGCCTCACGTACTGCAGCCCATCTTCAGCCTTCTCTCCCTGCCCCACTGTCTCCTCTCCATCCCCTCGGCTCCTGCTGTGCAGGCCTCCTCTTGTCATCTGGCTGCAGTACCAGTCTCCCCTTTTCCCCCAACTCAGCCTTTCCCTCCAGCCCATCTTGTCCTAGCCTTAGGGGCCTTCCTGCATCCAGAGCTGACCCTGCTCATGGCCCTCCTATGGCTCCCCAGCACCCTCAGTATGAAATCTTGGCTGTTCAGCCTGGCATTAGAGACCATCATGGTCAGGTTCAGCCATCTCTATCCCTTGTGGGACCCTCCACAGCTGCTTCCACAACTCCAGCCTGTGCCTCCTCTCCTGATACACCAGGCTGCTTCTTGCTGGGGCCTTTGCCAGTGGTCTGCCTTCTCCCTGGGTGCCCTTCTTGCTCCTCCACCACCTTCCACCCTGGCCTTTGTGTCCCTCTCCTGTCTTGCTCGCCTGCTTTTTTCCTTCTTTCCTTCCTTCCTTCCTTCCTTCCTTCCTTCCTTCCTTCCTTCCTTCCTTTCTGTACTGGGGATTGAACCCAAGCCACATCCCCATCCCTTTTTAGTTTTTATTTTGCTACAATGTGATGCTAAGTTGCTTAGGGCCTCCCTAAGTTGCTGAGGCTGATTTCGAACTTGCAATCCTGCTGTCAAGTCGCTGGAATTATAGGCATGTGCCACCATGCCCTACCTATCCTGCTTCATTCTGATCCATCTATTATATAGGAAGTTTGTCAACCTCCAGGAAGCCTCTCACCCGACCCCAGGCTACCTTGGTGTGTCTTTGGATACTCCTGAAGCCCCTGGGCGTGGTCACTGGCCTTTCTCACACTGGACTGTGATCCTCTGTTTGCCATCAACCCCAGACTGGCAACTCCCCACGGGGAGGACCAGGTCTGACCATCTGTTTCCCGCATCCCTCAGTTGCCTCATCTCCTTCAAGTCTTTGCTCAAAGATCACTTTCTCTGTGGCCTTCCCTGGTCCTCTCAAGATTACAGCCCCAGAGTCTCTGTCCTCCTCTTTGCTGTACCCGCTGCCATACTCTTATCACATTACATTTATTATTTCAGCATTTTGTCCACTCCTCCTGGAAGTTGGAGTCTGTCTGGTGTGTCTGTCTGTCTTGGCAGCTACGATACTTGAGTGCTTCAGAGCCTTGACTCCCAGACCAGCTGCTTGGGTCCACTTCCTGCTGCATGACCTTGAGGAAGTTACTTAGCCACTCTGAACCTCGTGTCCCCCTCTGTACAATGGGGATGATGGTAGTACCTGTTTGGTTGGTGGTAGTGAAGATGGAGTAAGCTCTGAGGACAGCACCTGACACAAAGTTTGTGTTGACTGGCATGGAGTAGGTACTGTCACTATTGTGTGTGTGTGTGTGTGTGTGGAGGGGGGGGGACTCTTAAGAGGCAGTTGGCAACCATTGACGCCCAGCCTTGGCCAGGGATACATTTTCCATGAAGCCATTGGAGGCCTCTTTTAGGGGCCCAGGAGAGGCAAGGCTGGGGCAATTTTGTATTCATAATTTGGGCTTCATTTTCTACTTATCGACTAATTGTTGTACTGGGGATTGAATCCAGGGGTGCTCTACTACTGAGCTACATCTACAGCCATATCTCTGTTTTGAGATAGGGTCTTGCTAAGCTGCTCAGGCTGGCCTTGAACTTGCCATCCTCCTGCCTCAGCCTCCTGAGTTGCTCCACGACCTTGAACAATGCTAGGCAGGTGCACTACCCCTGAACTACATTCCCAGCTGGGATTCAGGACAGGAACTTGAAGCCCAGGAAGGCTGTTTCCACCTTGGGCCCACCAGCCCCACCCTCTCCCAGTTCTGGGTGAGAATGCACCTTGGCTCCCCACTTTCCTCCACTCCCCATACTTATGCCCCCTGCTTCCTCCTCTGCCAGGGCGCACATACCCCCTCCTCAGGACTCTTCTCCATTGGCCCAGGAGCTCCCTTATTGAAGGGTTCAGAGCCCCAGTCCTGTAGCAGCAGTCTGTGGCTGGCCTTGCTCACTGGCCACAGTCCCTACACCCGGCCTTGCTGTGCTACTTGCTCTGGGTCCCAGGTTGTACCCTTTCCTACCATGCTAGACAGAGAAGGCTAGAGGACAGAGCAAATGAGTCCTTGCCCTGTGTCCAGGAGGGGCTGTTGAAATCACACCGTCTAAACCCTGTCAGATGTAGTGGCASGAACCCGAAGGCTGGCTGTCCAAGGCCAACTCAGCCTCTTCCAGAGCCCCTCATGCCAAGACAGTCTTGGGGTCAGATCCCTGATCCTGCCACTTTCTTGCTGCATGACCTGGGGCAAGACACTTTGCCTCTTTGCCTCAGTTGTCCCCACTGTAAAATGAGTCTGGTAATGGCAGTGACCAGCCTCTCAGGATGGCAGGACAGGGATGGGAGTTAATGCATATGAACCCTGGGGGTGTTGCCTGCAAGGATCGAGGATCGTGGCTGTTTTTGTAGAAGTTCAGCCTGTTGCCCCCTTAAGAGCAAACCTAGAAATGTATCGCTGAATCTTTTGCCTCTGGTTCTAAAGCACCATTACGTAAAGCAACACAAGGCCTCGACTCTCCCGTCTCTCCATACAGCCTCAGGGCCTGTCAGTTCCCTT